ATGTGAGGTGTAAAAATACATCAGTTTAAGAATTAACATATTTAGAATCTTTACAAAAAAAAAAAAAAAAAAACAAAAAAAAAAAAACAAAAAAAAAAAAAAACAGAAACCATGTTGCAACGTGATTTGAGTTTATCCATATACTTTGCATTTTTTAATTCAAATATATTTTATTTTTGATCTTTTAGATTTTTTTTAAATATTACTTGCTGCTGCAACTATGCATCCAGATGGGAACTTGTCTTTATATGTTGTGCCTATTGTGTAATTGTGTTCAACGTCCGAAAAAAAGCTCTTTCTCATTGTAAGCGCACACATGTGCAGTCATTTAGGCCAGATTAATTGGTGCCAAACATCGTCACTAAGTTGTTAAACCTTCAGATTCTTCTAATGACTTGTGCTCCCTCGCCCCCATGCTGTGACTTTTACGTTCTGTTTATTTGATGCGATGTCGATTTCCAGACTATTAACAAGGCTCAAATCGGCAAGTGATATGAGAAAACTTGTAATAAAAGCAGTGGCGGATCCAGGAATTTCATTACGGGCGGGGGGGGGGGGGGCGCAGTAGAAGGCAGGGGGGTCTGGGGTCTGTATTGAAGCCCCCATCTAGGGCAAAGCCCTGGTGGGTGTCCGATTTTGGATTTTGGATAATGGACATAAAAGTTCTACATAGAAAAAAATCAACTGGAGAGGGGGGCGTGCGTCCGGCGCGCCGGCCCTGGATTCGCCTTTGAAAAGTTCTTTTGAGGGGGTATATTGGCTAAAATTAGATCTGCTATCTTTTCAGCATTTTCATAATGTACCGGCATTTCAAGTGTGAAGTAAAATTACTTGAAGGTTGTAAGTCTCAATCAGCCGTGAAGAAACGAATAACAAATTTTTAATATATAGAAAATCTACCTAAGTACTAATAATATTAAAATCTCTTAAATTTGGGCAAATTTTTGAATGCTGCCACATTGTTACGAAAAAACAATATCGATGTATAACACTATTTTCATGTATGTATTTTTACGTTCACTCTCTCTATGATTTTTTTCCTAAATACAATTACTCTGATGAGCCAGCTGGCTTAAGGATATAAAGAAACCTGAAACCTCATCGTTCAATACAACAGCAGCTCCTCCCAAGCTTTGGTTACGTCCCAACGTTTCGCTGCGCCAAGTCAAAAGTATCTCGTCGTGAACCTCTAGCATACTAAAGTAATGTATGCAGGTGCACTAAGAACACGAATCCTTCGAAACAGAAAATGTTCTCTCTCATACAATGTATTTCCTTTTTAAAATTCTAGTAAGAATTTCTTGACGATAATACATGTATTTACACATTGTACTGTACAAGCAACACTTTGCACAAAGTAAGTTAGGACATGAGAGAGTTCAATGCAGAAAAAACGACCAAACATGCTAAGCATGTGAGGATTTCCCTTTATTTTAAAACAAATACAGTATCAGATGTGTAAAAGTAAGAAAACAATTATAAGGAACATGTTCCAATTCTTATTTTATTAATTGCATTATATAAGACTTCTGTGCAGGTCTGTGTCATTTAAGATTCGGATGCAAAAGTGGGTGGGGGATATTTCTTTAAAAGTATTCGAGATTTCTTAAAAAATAGCAGGATTTGATGTTTGAAGTAAATAAATTTAAGATATTTTCTGAACCTCTTCGAAAGAGAAACTACTTAAATATTACCAAACTTAACAATTTTCAGTGTCACTGTCGGTTTATATTTTTAAAATTAATATCATAATTCTAGACTCGAACCCTAGCTGTAATAGCTAGGGTTCGAGTCTAGAATTATGATACTAATTTTTTTTCAGTTATAGTCTATCAGAGTTATTGCTCGAAAAAAAAAAACAATGATCAAGTAAGCTTTTCTTTCAAATTTAAAATAGAGCCACACACGATAGACTCTGTTTATGAAGAAGGTCAGGCAATTAGGCTGTTCAAGGAGCTCCATAGACATCTTGGGGATATAAATTTACAACCCAGCTGGTAAACTTCGACGATGAAGAAGAGTACAATGAATCAAGAATGAGAAGCCTGTATAAGGTTCCAACTTTTTGTGCCCCCCCCCCCCCGAAAAAAAGAAGCTGGGAAAATTTTTCTCTGAAATTCATGTGTAAATACATAAAATCTTTGAAATATATTACAAAGCTAGAATTCCTTATTTTTAGGCTCTTCGATAAATACACCCAGTTGTACGTGTGAACCGATATTGTAATTGCATGTTTATTTTATCTAGAAAACTTAGTTGGGAAACTGGGGCGTACTTTGCTGTAAGATTCTGAGGACTTGTGGTATCCTGGCCAAGTAGTAAACACAAAAGATTCAGAAACAGCGAACCTAAAGATCCTTCACCCTGTGGGAAATAAATATTGAAGTGACCCCAGAAGTTGATTGATAGAGGTCAGCATACGAACTGTTCTTTGCCGAAGTAATGTCCCAGGACGATTGTCGACATTCAAAAATCACAAGGCTATAGACGAATTGTAATAATTAAAAATATTTACACAATTTTGTCAGACCTGGATAAAGCGGTGATTTATTAATGAATCATTCTGTTTTAACGCACTTAAACAAAATAGCAATTTTACATCAACATGATCGCACAAGATGAGAAAAGGACAGGATGTAGACCATGCCCGTTTCACATTAGAGTGTATGATACAGTTCAATACACATGGTCTTTATACATGTAAACGAATGAGAGAGAGAGAGAGAGTACCGATATATACATGTTTAAAATTAATAATTTCTCTTCTACTATAGCCTATCATTATCAGGAGGCAGGAAGTTATAGTCAGGGACGCAGTATCGTTTTTGAAAGGGGGACAGAAAAAAAAATGACAAATTACCTGAAAAAAAAAACCCTTGAGAAGCAATAAAAAAGGAACTCGAAAATCCTATTTCGTTAAAGGGATGAGGTGGGTGGGTTAAGTTACAACTTTCTTTCACAATCAATTTATTTTTCAATACATATTAATTTACTATGATTTAACTATGCTACAATAAAAACTGGGGGGGGGGGGCTGGGGGGGGGGTAACCAGCCTTTAAATGAACTTTTTCAATAGTGAAATTTTATGTTGGAAAAGGGGGGGGGGGGCAAGCCGTTCTTAATTGCCCTCATGAAACTATACGTGTCTGTTAATCGATGTTTGACTCGGCGGGATACTTGAGATTTATACGGATTTGAATAGACAGACTGATACCTTTCTCTTTTCTTCAAACTTTCAGATGAGTTACGAAACGGTCAAGGTGGTCTATGTAAATTAAATGATGGTATTTTGTAAGGGAAAAATATTGGTTCCTGTAAAAAATGTTTTTGTTCGTGGCTTGGTGTTCTTGTTTTAATTGTTATAGCAGTAGTGTAGTAATACATCCACTGCATCCAATGTATTCATGTTATATATAAAAACTAGGTCACTTATGAGAACTCGTTTATAAGAGCAGAGAGTAGTGGGCTACAAATTGCAAAATGATAAAAGGTTCTTGAGTTTATTTCTATATTTTTATGGCTTTTGATTTTCGTAAATTTGAGGCTCCCTCCCACCACTTCAACCACAAAAGTCTATTTATTTTAGGAAAGCACTCTACAAACGTTTTTCCCCTTGTCAGAAGTTGACATACATGTAGTTGGTGTAGGGATCATGTAAACTGTAACCCCCCCCCCTCCAAAAAAAAAAAATCATTTCATTTTTACAAATGTCTTTGACATGTACACAGTCAGCAATAAGGGCAATTCTAGTATACCATTCTCCAGTACACTAAGTGTACAACAGTAGACCATATCAATTAAATATTTCTTTTGTAATTTAACGATCTTTTTGCAGTGATTTTATCTGAAATATAGGTTTTCGTAATGTTACGGTTTTCTGTTATATTACGGATTTTCGTAACATTACGGTTTTCTATAATGTTACGGATTTTCGTAATATTACAGTTTTCTGTAATGGAACGATTCTTAGCAGTATAAATTTCCTATTTTTTATATTCCGAGGATTGGCAGTTTTCCTAAAATTGGTATACCATACGCATACTCATTTAAAAACTTTTTAATTTTTAATGGATGTTTTAGTACAAGACACTTGCATTGACAACAGGCTAAATTTTGAAGTGACATTGGTCGATCGAGTTGGGTTTGTTGAAAAATGATATCAAGTACTGAGATTTTATTAAAATTAGTTATGAATTAATTTCTTAACATCTGATAAATCGACCATTTTAAAACACTTTTTAATGACGCAACTTTGTACTATTAATAGCTGCTTTCAAAACACGAAAATTAGGCCACTGGTTAGGACACATCTCTGTAGAATTTTGACATGCATGTATGTGTTGTTTGCATAACTAACCATGTTTTCATATGAATAATTACAAAAAAATCGTGCTTTTCATGTTTTCACATAGTATAATTTGTGTATCCACGATATCATGATTAATGAAACAGTGTATCAGAAAAAGGGAAGTAACTCTTAGAAAAGTTAGAAATTGCTTATATTACGACTTTTCGTAATATTACGATTTTTCGTATTGGACCGGACTGAAAAGGGGGGGGGGGGATTTTTCAGAGTCAGATTATTTATTTTCATGTCGATGAAGGAGAGATTATTTATTTCCAAGATGATCGAGGACATATTATTTTTTTCCGCTGAAAAAAGTCTGAGACCAAAAAAAAAAAAAAAAATGATTTTCTTTTCTTGCCACTTGAGAGATGAGGACGGATTATTTATTTCCAACATATTCGCATTTTCGAGGACAGATTATTTCCAAAAGCCGTCCGAATCAAGTAGTTGTCCCAAAATACATGCTGTACAACTGTTCCTCAATCTTAGAATACAAGTCCTTTTGATAGCCTTGGACGATTTACTATTTTGTCAAGGCGGCTACGAAACTTGGTTTATGATGAATACGGAAATAAATTTTCCGTTTGTTTCCAGCACGACTAATTCGTGCTCAGTTTTGTTTCCGATGTGAAATCAAGGTTAGGATTTCGATGTGTTGAGTGGGCCCTGTTGATTGCATGTCAACATGACAAGTTTATAATGGACAACAAGGAATAAAGAACATCCACTTTTACTTAGATATGTGGGGAGGCAGTTGTTAAGTAAAGGAAAATGACTTCAAGACAATTACAGGTAAATCCTATATCCCGATTGTAAAATGACGAATTCAGACTTATGTAATTCACATGTAAAGCCGTAGTTTTAATCTCACCAAAACCAGTTTGTTTAATACAAAAAGACTTTTTTCAGTTTTAATAAGGATAGAATACGTATGCATGTTCTGTATGCTCTGTACGAACATGATCTGTAAATTTGGATATTTAATGGAATCTCAGATTTCATCAGCATAATAATAGTTGTTCATTTCTCCCATATTTGCAGGTCTGGTACAATCATTAGATTTAGCGACATTGCTTGAATTACCTACATAGCTTTATTCACCTACCTGAAGTACCTTTCAGGTCCAGTACAATCAGTAACTTCAGCTACGTAGCTAAAATTAAAATTACCGTAGCTTTATTTACCTACCTCAGGTAGCTTTATTTAGCTATTTCAAGGCAACTTTTTCACAATTTTGCTCTTTACTTTAAAACGACAAAAAATTGCAAATAAATGACTACAAATAATATATACTAGGGATTATTTAAAAACCTAAATAAACTTCAGGAGGTAAAAAAATTCAAGCTACGTAGCTAAATCTAGTGATTGTGCCAGACCTGCCTTTATTTAGCTACCAAATCAAACTTTTTTTTTAAATTAGCATTTTTCTCTGGATGTGCAGCAAATCGCACATTGATGCAGTGTTAATTTTCAACTTTAAACTCGTCTGAAAACAAGTCATGAAAAAATCACCCTTGAAAATGTGTCTTTTTCTGAACAATTGCAATCAAAGTTCTAAAAGTTTTGGGGGCTATATAGAACAGTTAATTTGTGACCAAACTTCTAGGATGAAATAACAAAGAAGACCAGTTCTGGTTAACATGATAATTGACTGGTAATTATTCAGCACAAAGTGAAGTAACAGGGTTCGACACTAACTTTTTAAGGCTTAAGTCCAGCCGGACTAGTGCTTCATTACTTTTACTAGTCCGCACGCGATTTTATTAGTCCGTCAAAAAAAAAAGAAACATCAATGTTTTTAACATTAATTTAATGTGACAATTTATTTTTTGAAATAAACAAAGTATCTACGTGAAATATATTATTCCACAGATTCATTGAAATCTCGCAATCAGCAAGAACGATTGTTTTTTCGATATTGTTTTTTTTTTTTTTTTTTTGTCTTTACATTACATCCAAAACGTTCAACATCTTTCTTAAAAGTGTCATACTAAATCATGATCGCTTAAAGTTTATACTTCATATCGATCAGTCGGAAAAATTAAGCGCTGAATTGACCTGGCTTTGCGTAACTACCCGCCAAAAGCTAGAAATCTAAAAATACATGCGGGGTTTTCCAGTAAAAGTTGTCGAGAATCGGACATCGGTAATTTATTCATATTGTTTTTCAGAAATTTTTATTGGTCCGTTCGGACTAATTAGCCACATATTTTATTAGTCCGAATGAAAATGTATTAGTCTGAGACTCTGATTAATCAGAATTATCCATGCCTCACCGCACTCAAAGTGGTGTATAGTTACTCAAACAATGAAAATACATCTTTTCCTTGGAAGTGTTCAAATGCAGCAATGTTAAAACTATCTCTGCTCTGGATTGCTTTTTTAAAAATCCCTAGTATAAATATTAGTATTCATATACTTGCGATTTTTTTTTTTTTTTAAATAAAAAGCAGAATTGTGAAAGGTTGCATTGAAATAGCTAAATAGAGCTTCCTGAGGTAGCGAAATAAAGCTACGGTAGGTAATTCTAGCTACATAGCTAAATGTACTAATTGTACTGGACCTGATTTGTACTCTTTGTCCCTGTTCATTGGATTTACCTTGTTAAATTAAAATCCATATTCATTTTTAGAAATAGCACAATAAAAAAAAAAAAAAAAAAAAAAAAATCAAAGGCATATTTGTATTGAGTGTCATTGCAGGGGGTGGGTGGGTAATTTTTAGTTACATTAATGTACCTCTTTTTATTTTGTAGATTGAGCGAGCAATTTCTCAGTTACACACCATATTCAGCAGACCTTTGGGTGTGTCTTGTACATGTAGATTGGGACAGAGAATTTATTACGCCACTGCCACCGGGGAAACAAGACATAGATGGAGTAGATCTGACAGACGGAAAGTAATGAAAAATTGTGTATCATTTTATACTAAGTCTTGGATGCATATTATTGTTCCTGATTATTGTTTACTTAAAAATGTTATATATAGTATCACTGAACATCTGTAATCATTAAATGATTTTAAATTGTAATTTGAAAATGGGGGGGGGGGGGGGGGAGTGGAAAGGTAAGTAATACTTAATACAGAAATATCTAGATCAATTATTACACGACATTGTATACATTGAAAAAATTCCACAAAATCAGTCAAGTTCAATGTGAATTTAGTAAAACTCTTCATAATAACAAAATTATGTTTGATTGAACAACATGCATTCATATACAAGTTTAGAAGTAGTATTAAATGTTTGTTTATTGAAATGGAGACTGATAAGCTGAGTTTTTATGTTTATGTTTTGAACACGATTAAATATAAAAAAAAAAAAATTATATGAAGATAAATATCAAGCAACATACAAATAATTCATGAATAAATTTGAATTTCAGACACAGAAAACAAGTGAAGGTTCTTCGATAAAGCTAGGCTCTATTTTCCAACAGAATAACCTAGGTATGCTTGAAAACTGTAATTTCAACTATCACACTGTATTTTGAGTTTTGCAACTGTTTATGCATAAAATTACATGTACAGAAAAAATCCCCCTTATCTCAAATTCAGTAGGACCAACAAAAAACTTGTAAATATTCAAGATTTTGAGGTTAAAATATGTTAAGAAAAATTGGTTTGGACATATCCTACTCATTTTGACATATCCATGGTATTCAAGATGTTGATGTTCAAGATACAGAAGTTCATTGATTTCATATTTAAAGTTTAATCTACAAGGTCATTAGATCACCTTGGGAAAAGTCAGTCTTAATAGTTAGTAGTCTAATCTGCAAAATTGTTGACCAAGAAATTTTGAATTTTCAGGTGCCATAAAAGATATTGGATCCAAAAGTTTTGGGCTGAATAAAGAAAGACAGTCACAGGTAATTTTTATATGAAGTTTGCCATGAATCAAAAAGGAAATGTAAATGCTGAAAGCTTGAATAGACGTGCACTCATACTAACAACAAAAATTTGTTTCAATTTCTGACTAATAGCTAGAAAACACAAGTGTGTTTTGTAGTAGTCCAAAATTGAAACATTTGAGTATCTCAAAATTGTTGTTTTGTCCTACAAGCAATTTCTGAAATTGTAGATACATGCATGTACCAGGGAAATAAAATGTTAGCCATCATTCTTTTTCAAAAAGTTCATTTGTGCAGATTTCTATCTATACTTCAAGATTACTGTAAAATATCTAAACATTTCAAGATTACTACAGTGATTTAATAATATTTGTGACATAAGTACAGGGAGGAAACACATTCACACATACGCAATGTCTGTTTATGTATAATTGTATACAGATAAAAAATAAATTTTTGTAACACATGTGCACAGTAGAAGCACACTGCGATCAGTCATGAACATTTTCTTTTGTACTTGAGCATATTATTTGCTGTGAGGAATCACATATTTAACATGATTTTTAATATATTAACACATTATATGATGAGGTATCAGCTAGTGACCATTTGTAATGTCTGTATATTAGAGGGTAAAATGAAACTCTATTAAAGAATGAGTCACTGTGCATAAAGAGAGAGAGAGAGAGAATATCAACTTGATATTTAAATGTAATTTAAAAAAGATATTTGATATGCAAGGTTGCATCTACAGATCTGCTCAGAAGTGAGTCATAGATTTATATATATATATATATATATATATATATATATATATATATATATATATATATATATATATATATATATATTTGTTTCATTCTAATTATTAAGGATACGCTTTACAGGTTGGAAGCACACAGTATTTAAATCCAGATGAACTGGAGAAGAAAATTAAGAAACACATAGCAGAGATAGAGCAGGAACTACGACAACTGAATGCTAAACGTAAACATTGGCATCAAGTGCGAATGGTGGCACTAGGGGTTACCGCCATAGTCGTGTTGTTGGTAGCTTTTTACATGAGAGGTGAGGTATATTTACAACAAGTTCACAATGTATGGTTTTAAAACTCACATTACATGCAACTAAGGAAAGGTACACTTACACGTAGGGTGAACCCTCATGGTAAGGATAAATCACAATAACTCTGATATGTGTGGATAAATTCACATCTGCTCTGGGTGAAGTTGACCCATAAATATCATTATTTTATTCACAATGAAATTTTGTGTGTTGACAGGGTTTCAGCAGGGTATGACGGTAATGGTAGCCCAGTAGGTCGGGACGACAGTGTTGATTCAAAAATGAAAATCAGTATTGATTGGATTCCATCTAATTCTTTATAAACTTCTCTTTCTTTGACAGGTAAGAAATTGGAAGTGTCCATAAATCTCCCAGCAGGTGGTGCCAATAACTATATGGTGGTCCATCCAGAAAAGACGGGCATTAATTTCAGTCATGTCAAAGGGGTAAGTTTTAAAGTAAAAAAATTAAAAATAAAGTACTGTATTATACCTGCATTCAAAAATTACTGTGGAATGATTCTATTTGTAATTCATGGGGGGGGGGGGGGGGAGGGATTTTTCATGTATTGCTTAAAATGTATAGGTTCAAGGTGAGTGGGTGGGTGGGGTAGTTACAGGAGAAATGTCTATGACAGATACTGGCTTTCTGTCAAATTTCTTTGAGGTTGTTACCCTCATAAGTTGCAACAAAATAAAATGAATCATCAGTATATCTGTTGATAATGGTAATTAAATTTAAAAATAATTAAAAAAAATTATTGAAAAAGCATGTAATGTGTATAATTAGTGAATCTATAGACCTTAGAAATCTGCATTATTTAGGTGCAGTACAACTATGAAATGAGTCATATTCACAAAAAAATCTTTTGTCACATACTACATGTATATAAAGAAATGCCAGCTTAATATATTTTATTCAAATACAGTTGAACTTCAGTATCTTGAACACCAATATCTTGAATACCATGGATATTCCAAAGCCCTTATTCTCTAAGTATTTACCCTGGATATCTCAAATCCTCGGATATCTCGAAATTTTTTCTTTACCCCACTGAGTTTGAGATAACAAGGTTTGACTGTATTTATAATTATAATAACAAAACAATTTCTAGATTGATGAAGTGAAAGAAGAGCTGGAAACTGTGGTCAAATTTCTGAAAGATCCTAAAAAGTACGCCATCATGGGAGCCAAGATCCCCAAAGGTATACACTGATAATATATAATCAAATTAATGTGTGATGACAGGCAACTGCTTGACTTCTTATCATTGATGCTTGTTTGTTTAACGTCCCTTCAAGAATATTTCACTCATTTTGAGATGCCACCACTTGCTGGTGGAGGGCTGCAAATTTAGACCTGTACTCACCACTTATAGCCTTTTAGCAGTGGGGATCTTTTTCATGCAAGCACCTATTGTGACACAGGACCTCGGTTTATATGGTCTCCTCTGAAGGACCTGTCTCCAATGGATTTGAATTCATGAAATAAGGATCAACTCCTTATGTCTCGACACTATAGCTAATGCACTAACCACTGTGCCACATGGGCGACTATCAGGGATGCAAAAATACTGTATATCATACAAACTCTCTTTGCTCAGTATACACAGAAGAAAAGACGTACTTTCAGCATGTAGAGCAAAATTGTCTTAAGGGTGAAAAACATTATATGCAAGCAAGAAGGTTTTTTAGCAGGAGTTTTCTTTTGGATGAATTTATTTACTTTATGTTAAGGGTGACTACTGAATATGATATGTGATGTGTACTTTTGTGAAAGATAAATAAACCATGAAACCAAATAAGGGATTTTCCACTGCTCCATGTAGGGCTGAATTTCGGCCCCATTCCCAATTACAAAACCCTCCACTCTCCCCCAAAATCCCACCTCAGTTTTTCCCAAAATAATTTACATTTAAAATTCAACCAGTATCGGAATTCTTACAAAAGTACAGGAATGGAATTCACAACAGATATGTAAATGACAATTTTTATTGCTCAAAAGAACAGAATGGTTCAAAATTAAAATTTGTTTTGGTAATAAACATTATTCTGACCCACTTGTAGAAATTTATTTACCAATTCCAAGGGACTGGGCCCCATTTCCAATATAATATTGAAAATCCCTGCAAATGGTGCAAGTGTCTCAGCCTTGCAAGTTGCATAGAAAGTATCAGGTTAAATTTTAGGAATACCAGAATCCCAAATACAGAAAGTAATATTTCATAATCATTTAATTAAAACTATTTTATACCTTCATAGATTTACATATAATCTATTTACTGTATCGAAGCATTAGATTTTAATCACATGACTTTAATCATCACATGACTATAATTCACAGGTGTTCTGATGGTGGGACCCCCAGGATGTGGGAAGACATTTCTTGCTAAAGCTACAGCAGGTAACTCAAATGAATGTGTGTTGTACATAGTGGTGTTCCAGTCATCGATTATAATCGAAAATCAGTTGATTGCTGGCATAAACCAAGCGCTCGATTACAAAATTTTGATTTCGATTAATCAGGTTATTTATTTTATTTCACAAGCGTAATAGATTTTAAGCCGAATATTCCAGCTGCAACTTGTCTGTTAACTTATTTGTGTGGTGTCGTTTGTTTGTTGTTTAACGTCCCTCTTGAAATTTTTTCACTCATATGGAGACGCCACCACTTACCAGTGAAGAGCTGCAAATGTTGACCTATGCTTGGCACTTAGGGCCATTGAGCAGTGAGGGATCTTTTTTGTGCCAGCACCTACTGTGACACGGGACTTCGGTTTATAGGTCTCATCCGAAGGACCGGTCTCCACAACCCACAGTGGAATTTGAACCCGCGACGTAAGGATCAACTCCCTAGCTCTAGAGCAGACGCTTTACCACTGTGCCACGCAGGCTGGCACAGACGAACAGGCATTGTATTTATACCCGAGTAACAACGCTCATTCTCGGGTATGGACGTACTTTGGATACTACAAAATGAACGAAGAACCAGCTGGACTAGATAGAACGTTCTTTTGTTAAAATTATATTGTCCTACGGACTAGAAGGACTAGGGCTTGTCCCGAGACACAGTTAGATTATACTAACTACAGCTGGACCACAACAGGAAGTAGTTATTCACCCATTCTTACCATTTAATAAACTAAATTGACAGACTTTGTAAATGTCCGATTATAAGTGATAATTAGTTAGTTACAGTAGCCCAATCATCGATTATGAAATTCTTACCGATTCCCATCACTAGTTGTACATAACATTTGATTAAGATCTCATGGCAGAAATCTGTTAATTAAATGATAGAAATGGAACTATTTCATGAAATTGAATGTTTTACGCATTTCTCTTTGCAACAGCTGCATTAGCCATGAATCATAAGTTACAGTTGAACTACGGTATCTCAAACACTGGTATCTCAAATATCATAGATATGTCGAAGTGATCTGGAAGTCCCCAATCATTAATTCTTTAAGTATTTTACCCTTTTGTTCGACACCTCAAATCCTCTGATATCTCCAAGGTTGTTCTTGGTCCCATTGAGTTCGAGATAATGAGGTTTGTATTTTATGTACAGTAGAAACTAGACACTAGGCAAAAGATTGTTTGGAAAGCATAACAGCATAACATGGTTACAGAGAAAATGCTTATAATGAACAACAAACTATTCTTTGTACTTTTTTAAACATTTTGATTTATATTTGAACTTCACAGATACAATAAATAAGGTTGATAAGTAATCAAAATTGTCTAGTTCCTGCCACTTCCCTGCTTAAGATTTATTGTCCTTAAGGAGTCATTTTTTATAGTTCGGTAACTGTTGTATCCTTTATCTCTGGATTCCTTGTTCCACAGGTGAGGCGGGTGTGAGCTTCTTTTATGCTGCCGGCTCCAGTTTTGATGAGATGTATGTAGGAGTTGGTGCTAAACGCATTAGAGATCTCTTTGGTGAGTCACGGTTTATTCTACTCATTGGCAGATTAAGGTGTTTATGACGTTTTTATTGTAATTGTAATAATAATTGTTATAATTGTTTTATTGTAATAATTTTAAAAGAAAAAGTAGCTTAAAAAGGAATTGAATCACAAGGCAAAGTTAGCACACCTTGAAGATAACTGCGTGATATAGATTTGTCACATGTTTTAATGCAAAATTTGTTGAGAGTCCAACTTTTATTGATCTGTTAAGAGAGATAATATACATATCACTACAGAGTTATTTTTGCACAGCTGCATTGTATGTCTGTTGTTTGTTAAATAAGCAAAATAAAACTTCTGAAAATCTAGAACCTTACAAAATTTTATAAGTATCTAATGAATCAACTCTGGCATTCTGCCAAAATGGAGTAGAAATATATCAACATAATCATGATAATGGACCAGTATAACTTCTTACCAAGTTTTTAGATATTTCATAAAACAACTCCAGCCTTTAATCAAACTAGAGTCAGAATGATATAAGTATATTGACCTCTAATGAACCACTGTATCTCTCTTACAGATGCAGCTAAGGCCCACGCCCCTTGTATTATATTCATTGATGAAATAGACAGTGTCGGGGTCAAAAGGTCACAGAGTAACAGCTTCGCATACCAGACTCTACATCAGCTGCTAAATGAATTGGATGGGTAAGCATGTTCTATAGGGGACTCTTTTTAAACTGACCAATCACAAACCTTAAGCTTGACACTGTAAGGGGGTTGGGCTAAGTTGTGTTTTAAAAAGCTCCAGATAATAAGTTATCTTCTAATGTTGGAGAAAACTTGATATTTTGAAAATATGAAAAATGACTGTCTTATGGAAAACTTACTGGAAATGTAAGTAATAATAAGCAGTAAAGTTAGAATATAAATTGTTGTGTAATTAATTTATTCAAAACTTTGAAAAATGTACTATTCGTAATTTTATGTTTTTTATAGTAGACATTTAATGACGATGATTTAAAGAGAAATTCATTTACTTAATACAGGAATTTTGATCAGTCTTTCCTTTTTTAAACAGATTTAACAATGAGACAGGAGTAATAGTGATAGCAGCCACAAACAGACCCAACTTCTTGGATGAGTAAGTTCTTAATGCTCAATGTTTTATAGAACTGAGGATATTTGTTCAGAAATAAGTAGTGTAACAATTCTTAACAATTTTCTAATAGTCACCTCGTAAATAAAACAATGTGAATATTAGTTGATTGTTATTTCCATAATCGAAAATTGCTGATGTTTGTAATTTTTCATTGCATGAACTAACTTTCTTTTTATTACTGTGACCTAAAAAAAAATATTCCAAAATTGCCTAACAAAGGTCCATTACTACAAGAAATTCAATGTTGGATACAAACATCCAACTGTAAATCTACTTCTCAAAAATTTTAGCTAAAGTGGAAATCAGTTTGAAGTATCTCCTACCTAGCAAATTGGCACTTTGCATCTGCATTGCATTAATCTTGTTTAACATGTTTAATGATTATATTTATGTCTGAGACCTAACTTTTTCCTCTATTACAGGGCCCTAGTCAGACCGGGTCGTTTTGATGTCATTGTTTCTGTCCCACTCCCTGACCTGAAAGGTCGAGAGGAACTGTTCGAACACTACCTTCAGAAAGTCAGGTGTGACAGCTGTAAGTAATATATAAGTAACACTACCTTCAGAAAGTCAAGTGTGACAGCTATAAGTAATATATAAGTAATACTACCTCCAGAAAGTCAGGTGTGACACTGTAAGTAATATATAAGTAACACTACCTCCAGAAAGTCAGGTGTGAAAGTCATAAATAATATATAAGTAACACTACCTCCAGAATGTCAAGTGTGACAGCTATAAGTGATATATAAGTAACACTACCCCTAGAATGTCAGGTATGATAGATGTAAGTAATATATAAGTAACACTATCTCCAGAAAGTCAGATGTGACAGGTGTAAGTAATATATAAGTAACACTACCTCCAGAAAGTCAAGTGTGACAGTCGTAAGTAATATATAAGTAACACTACTTCCAGAAAGTCAGGTGTGACAGCTGTAAGTAATATATAAGTAATACTGCCTCTACATAGTCAGGTGTGACAGACATAAGTAATATATAAGTAACACTACCTCTACAAAGTCAGGTGTGACAGATGTAAGTAGTATATAAGTAATACTACCTCCAGAGAGTCAGGTGTGACAGCTGTAACACCACCTCCAGAAAGTCAGGTGTGACAGATGTAAGTAATATATAAGTAACACTGCCCCCGTGTGACAGCTGTAAGTAATATATAAGTAAAATTAAGTAACAGTTGAGTAATGCTGAGTACATTTATACTGTAATAGGAACTGCTTAGCACAGTTGAGCCTCTTTAATCAGAACTTCTGTTTTCCTGAGTATATTGTGTGGATAAATTAAAGGTTGATTTTGATGAAACATACCTCATATACATGTATTTGATAGATATTAATATGAATTCCATTCCCCACAAATTTTTGTGAGTAAGACAAAGCATATGCATTATTGATTAATGAATTTCATTGTATTCAATTTAACTGTGATTTAGAACAGCTGTTTGTACAAATGAACAGGGAGAATTAAGAGAGGTGTTTAGCCTTCATGTGTTTTGTTTTCATGAGATAATTTTACCATTGTTAGCATGCTAACAGGAGTTTTTTAAATTAAAAACATATTATAATTTGATGTGATATTGTTCCTGTATTACAGCCATTGATGTGAACAAACTTGCCAGAGGAACATTTGGGATGTCAGGTACTTTTAGAATATCATTCATTATGAAGTTGATTGCATTGTAATATACTAATAATTTGTAGTTTTTTTCTTTCTTGTTTGATAATGGTTGTATTGTGTGTTTCAAAACCTGCTTGATCCCCCCCCCCCCACACACAGAATATCTCTCATTTCTTCCCCACTCTGAAAGAAAACACCATCCTTCTCCCTATTAAAAAGAGAATCTTATGAATTTTTCACTTTGAATTTTTTTGACTTAAGTAGTTTTATATGTCTTCCTAAGTTAGTACACCTGTAATCCCTTCCTTATTTGTTGCTGACATATTTTCTATCCTTTCCACAGGGGCTGACATCAGTAACATTGTAAACCAGGCTGCCTTCCAAGCAGCTCGTACCGGACAAACAGAGGTGTCAATGAAAGACATGGAGTTTGCTAAGGATAAAATCATGATGGGTAAGCAGCAGAATAAGACCCTCCTCAGTGTGGAAACTTGTTTTATTGGCACTTATTTGTTTTATTAACCAGTAAAGGTTAATACATAAATTGCATTTCTTAACCACATATTAATGAAAACGCTGTCTGTAGAGCACATGACTAAGTGGTATTTGACCGGTAACAAAAAAGTCACTGGCTCAAATCCTGCTGAAAGCCCTCGGTTTTATCCTTGGAAAAAGCATGTATCTGTGATGTCAGTCCACTCAGCAGAAATTGGCTATCAGCACATGCTGGGATCTAACCAGCAAAGGACTTGCTCCAGTGCCATAAAACTTAGATGAGCTCACCCTCGATCTCGGTCTCACTTTTCTACTATACGTTCTTTCTGTAAAAGTGAGACTGAAATCAAAAGTAAGCTCATCTAAGTTTTATGGCCCTGAAACCTGGTGTCTCGTCCAGGGGGAGCTAAGCACTACAGAAACTGGATATAAAAATGGCTCTTATGAGCCTCATGGCTGGGCAAGGAATTGGCTAATTACAACGTTTATGTATTGAATTTATTTTGCATCATGTGTGTAATATATTAATGAAATTATTTCTTTCCTGAAACATTCTCAAATTTCCCAAAGGAAACAGGATTTTAACTTTTTCTAAATGACTTCAGGTGCAGAAAAGACATCAAAACTATCAGACCAGCAGATGATAGAAGTGATGGCTGTACGCGAGGCAGCACATGCCATAGTATCATACTACACCAAACACTCCATACCACTGTATAAAACCACCATACTGAGGAGGGGAACCAGTTTAGGACAGGTCTGTACGGTTTCCTTAACATGTTAGGCAGTGAAAGTCTCCCAGTTTCAGAACTTTACATAAGGTATCATTTATATTGAAAAATACCAGAAGAATGAGATGTTTTTTTTTAAAAAAAAAATCATTGCTTTCTAATATTATGTTAAATAAAATGGGGCATAATACTCAGGTAGGTGTTAGGGCCTTTATGTCCCTTGTTTTTGGTATTTTCTGTATCCAAGATATTGTGTTTCAGACACAAGTGTTGCCCAGTAAAGAGATTTATAACCAGACAAAGGAGGAGATGGCGGCACGGCTGGATTTCTATATGGCGGGGAGGGTTGCAGAGGAGATGGTGTTTGGGAAGGATAATATCACAACTTGTCAGTAGCCTATTACTGCACTTCTTACAATAGAAACTAAACATTGTAAAATCTCAGTAGAACTGCTGTATGGTCTAATCCAAGATATTGTGTGTATAATGATGTTTTTAGTATTGTGTTGTGTTAGATTTCTAATATAACCACCTTAAAAGCATGCTTCATTCAAATCTGCAAAATTCACAGCTTTTTACTGTACATTGAGTTTTTTGGTACATAAAGAGATCAAGAATTTAATGAAAAAAAAGGCAGCTGCCTTTGAAAACCATTGTATAATTTAATAGTCTGATTTTTTTATTTTAGTAAGTGCACCTACAATTAAAAGAGCCACAGATTTAGCGAGGACGTATGTCACTCAATGTGGAATGTCAGAAAAGGTACTGCAACCATCATTATTGTACATATGTAACAAGAAGGGGGGGGGGGGCTGTGCTTGGATATGAAGCCGTCCTCAGGCATGCTAGTTTATTGCTCTGTCTATTAAACGGTTAACCTTTTAGCTTGATAGTTAGTGCACTGGACTAGATTGCAGAAGACCTGTGTATTCTCTGGTGGTAGAGAATGATTTCCCCCATCAGAATTACAGGTGTTGTCACTCCAAAAGAGATGAGGACACCCTTTCTCTGGTGGGAGTTATGTCAAAGGATATAATGTATGGCTGATATGTGTCTGTTTATTGTGTAGGTAGGGACACGCGTGTACTCCAGAGAAGATGAAGGTTTGACTAGCCCTGAGTACCAGGATCTCATTAACCAGGAAATTAATAGACTTCTCAAGGTCAGCATTAACAATAATTAGAGATGCTTTACAAGTTTCAGGTTAAAACTTTAATAGCTATTTTACAAAGTTTGAACTATGATAAAGATGTACATTTGTATAACCAACTTAAAAAAGTGTTTACAGGTTTCAACTAAAAACTATAATAGATGTTTCACGGGGTTGAGCTTAAAACTAAAAGATATGTTTGACAGGGCTTAGTTTCTAACAATTTTGTTCAACGATTGGATGATCTTATCACTAAGAGTCTGTATTGGAAATTCATGTTCTTAAACTATCCTAAATGTTGAAAAATTATCAATAACCAGATTATGCCTAAGAAAGATAAAAAAAGAGTGTTGTTTGGAATATATTTAGGGGCTATCTTCTGTTAAGAGAATTCTTTAATTTTTACAATGCTGTATGTAATTTGATACAAAGTGTGCTGAAAATGCTGTTTGAACAGAAGGTGCATGAAAGTTATAATTACAGTTGAACTTTGGTATCTTGAACACAGATATCTCGAAACCTATGTCGAAGTGATTTTGAAGTCCCAACTGCTTATTCCTTAATAAGTATTTTACCCTGGATATCTCAAATCCTGGGTTATCTCGAAGTATTTTTTTGATTCCTTCGAGTTCGAGATAACAAGGTTTGACTATGTTATTATGTAATTTTCAGGAGGCGTACAAGAGAGCACAGACTGTGTTACAGAAACATAGAACAGAACTGAATGTATTGACTGAAAACCTGAAGAAGTACGAGACTCTCACAAAGGAAGAGGTGGAAACAATACTGAAGGGAGGGACTCTGAACAAATAAAGGTCATTTACATCTCTCTGAGAGGGAGGATGTTAAAGAAAGTCCTGGTGGAGTTGCTAAGGATTTAAAAAGCTGCATCAAGAAGGCATTTTCTTTTTTTTTTAAAAATCAAGCTTGTGAAACCCTTGTTTGTCTCAAGACACAGAATTAAATAGTCCTTATAGTGTTATCCAGAAGTATAATTATTTCTGGAATGAGAAAGGATTTGGATTTTACCTGGAAAAGATTCTTTGACAAACTCTGGTCAGCATTGGAATCAGGCTCCGTGACACTTCTGCATCTTTTAATGTAAGCAAAATATCCAAGTTTGCAACAGGAATACCTTTGTACGAGTTATGTTTCCTGCAGCATAAATACTTTGAAACATGCATATTGTCAAATCTGTATTGATGCACATCACGTTGAATTATGTTTATTAAAATATGAGGTGTGTACATGTATAAATATTTTGATAGTTGTAAATGTTAATGTTGTGTGAATGCATTTTTCCTGTTAATAAAATTTGTAGTACTAAAGTTGTAATATGGCAGTAATGTCACCCTCAGTGGAAGGAGACACTGGTTTTCTGTCTGTCTGCCACAGTATTTTGTACTGTCTTGTAACTCCATAATCCTTTCTTGGACCAGGTGCTAACCTTAGTGTGTTATTGCTAATGACCAGAGAGTCAGAGACTTAAGGTCGTTTCTGAAGGTCACTGATTTTAGTAGGGGAAAAAAATGGCATTTCTGTATATTTGTTTTGTTTTGGATCTGTATTGTTTTTAGCTCACCTGAGCCAAAGGCTCAAGTGAGCTTTTCTGATCAAAATTTGTCTGTTGTCTGTCGTCGTTGTAGTCGTCGTCGTTGTTGTTGTTGTAAACTTTTCACATTTTCATCTTCTTCTCAAGAACCACTGGGCCAATTTTAACCAAACTTGCCACAAAGTATCCTTGGGTAAAGGGGATTCAAGTTTGTTCAAATGAAGGGCCACGCCTTCTTCCAAGGGGAGATAATTAAGAATTCGTGAAAAATTAATGGCATCATTAAAAAATTTTCTTCTCAAGAACCACTGTGCTTGAAAATATGAAACTTATGTGGAAGCATCCTCAGGTAGTGTAGATTCAAGTTTGTTCAAATCATGACCCCTGGGGGTCGGGTGGGGCCACAATGGGCGATCAAAGTTCTACATAGGAATATATAGGAAAAATCTTTAAAAATCTTCTTCTCAAGAACAGCAAAGCCATGATTGGTCATATTTATATGGTAGCATCCTCAGATAGTTTAGATTCAAGTTTGTTCAAATCATGACCCCCGGGGGTCGGGTGGGGCCACAATGGGCGATCAAAGTTTTACATAGGAATATATAGGAAAAATCTTTAAAAATCTTCTTCTCAAGAACAGCAAAGCCATGATTAGTCATATTTACATGGAAGCATTCTCAGGTAGTGTAGATTCAAGTCTGTTCAAATCATGACCCCCGGGGGTCGGGTGGGGCCACAATGGGCGATCAAAGTTTTACATAGGAATATAAAGGAAAAATCTTTAAAAAATCTTTTTCTCAAGAACAGCAAAGCCATGATTGGTCATATTTATATGGTAGCATCCTCAGAGAGTGTAGATTCAAGTTTGTTCAAATCATGACCCCCGGGGGTCGGGTGGGGCCACAATGGGCGATCAAAGTTTTACGTGGGAATATATAGGAAAAATCTTTAAAAATCTTCTTCTCAAGAACAGCAAAGCCATGATTGGTCATATTTAAATGGAAGCATCCTCAGATAATGTACATTCAAATTTGTTCAATTCATGACCCCCCCCCCTTTCCCGAACCACCTTTTTATTTAAACTTTTCAACCTTTCAAGACTGAACTGATTTCTGCTTTTTCCTAGCCATAGTGCTCAGGTGAGCGAGATCGATGTGGCCCCTGGGCCTCTTGTTAAGATTACGAGATTGATCTTTGCTTTTTTAGCTCACCTGAGCTGAAAGCTCAAGTGAGCTTTTCTGATACCCATTGTCCGTCGTCCGTCCGTCTGTCTATCCGTCTGTAAACTTTTCACATTTTCAACTTCTTCTCAAGAACCACTGGACCAATTTTAACCAAACTTGGTACAAAGAATCCTTGGGGGAAGGGGAGTTTAAATTGTAAAAATAAAGGGCCAAGTCCCCTTACAAGGGTAGATAATCAAGAAAAGACAAAAATAGGGTGGGGTCATTAAAAAATCTTCTTTTCAAGAAGCACTGGGCTAGAAAAGCTGAAACTTATGTGGAAGCATCCTGGGATAGTGTAGATTCTAAATTGTTAAAATCATGACCCCCGGGGGTAGGGCCGGGCCACAATAGGGAATCCAAGTTTTACATTGAAATATATAGGAAAAATCTTTAAAAAATCTTCTTCTCAAGAACCACTGAGCCAGAAAAGCTGAAACTAATATGGAAGCATCCTGGGGTAGTGTAGATTCTAAATTGTTCAAATCATGTTCCCCGGGGGTAGGGCCGGGCCACAATAGGAAATACAAGTTTTACATTGAAATATATAGGAAAAATCTTTAAAAATCTTCTTCTCAAGAACCACTGGTCTAGAAAAGCTGAAACTTATGTGGAAGCATCCTGGGATAGTGTAGATTCTAAATTGTTCAAATCATGACCCCCGGGGGTAGGGCGGGGCTGCAATAGGGAATCCAAGTTTTACATTGAAATATATAGGAAAAATCTTTAAAAATCTTCCTCTCAAGAACCACTGAGCCAGAAAAGCTGAAACTTATGTGGAAGCATCCTCAAGTAGTGTACACTCTAAATTGTTCAAATCATGACCCCCGGGGGTAGGGCGGGGCCACAATAGGGAATCCAAGTTTTACATTGAAATATATAGGAAAAATCTTTTAAAATCTTCTTCTCAAGAACCACTGAGCCAGAAAAGCTAAAACTTATGTGGAAGCATCCTGGGGTAGTGTAGATTCTAAATTGTTCAAATCATGACCCCCGGGGGTAGGGCGGGGCCACAATAGGGAGTCCAAGTTTTACATTGAAATATATAGGAAAAATCTTTAAAAATCTTCTTCTCAAGAACCACTGAGCCAGAAAAGCTGAAACTTATGTGGAAGCATCCTCAAGTAGTGTACACTCTAAAATGTTCAAATCATGACCCTGGGGATAGGGCGGGGCCACAATAGGGGGAATCCCAAGTTTTACATTGAAATATATAGGAAAAATCTTTAAAAATCTTCTCAAGAACCACTGGACCAGAAAAACTGAAACTTAATGTGGAAGCATCCTGGGGTAGTGTAGATTCTAAATTGTTCAAAGCATGGCCCCTGGGGGTAGGGTGGGACCACAATTGGTATTGCAAGGGGGGAAGTCTGGTAATGAACAGCATGGCCAAAGTTACTCAGGTGAGCGATGTGGCCCATGGGCCTCTTGTTTCTTCACCTTTTTCATTGAGAAGGGCGTCAGTTACAAACTCTCTATAGGACTTTTGTGAGAAGTACTGACTTTTACAATTAATGGCTTACTTTGACATTTAAACCTGCGTTGAGTACGGAGCAAAGGATAATGGATAAGTAAACTATAAGACGTGGTTATATTGATAACTGATAAGTGATTCCGCTATAACTCTCTATATGGCATATGTGTAGATGCAAAATTTTATTTTTGGGTTACTTTTGAAGTACTAATGAGTCCTAGGCTATAAACACTTATCATTATAAGTAATGTACACAGTAGTCGTGGTTTTGTATGTTCACTGTGAAAATATGAGTTGAAATAGATTTAAAGAGACAGAAAATTGTCGGTGAGTTAGAGGTTGATGACTAGAATGCTAATAAAGAGTGTCTGTAAATTAGATTAAATTTGAATGCAACAAGCGCGCGGATTCAGACATGCAGTGGTTAGCTATACCATCAGAGAGAGAGAGAGAGAGAGAGAGAAACTGTTCAGTTGGAGATGTACAAAAAATTATCTTTTGAAAACAGTTCTTTTCAATCCTTGAATAAACGTTAAATACGTCTGAAGTCTTTGCTTGCTGACATGGGGTTATACATCGGGGGTTAAAAGAATTCAAAATGTCCGTATTGTTTTGTACTTTTTTATGAGAGTTTCAAAAGTAGATAAACGTTCGTTTATCGTGTCATGTCCGCTAGAATGACAGAGCAAGTTAATATTTGTCAAAACAAAATAACAACAAAAGTTAAACTGAAAACATCGCAGTATCGAGTGATAAACAAATGTTATGCATTTACATTGAACGTTTGCCACTTTGTGAAGGTGCAATATTTCTTTTCAAATACGAAGAGTCATTTTTACAGAAATATAAATTTAATACGAAATGTAATGAAACCAAACTAAAACTTAAGAAAGGACGTCGAACTTTATATATAATTAAAGGCACAACTGAATATTTTTTTTTATTAATACAAGTGAACAAATTGAAAAACTAGTGTGATTCATAAGAAATATTGTGAACATAATGTTGACTTAGTTAAGACCTCGCTTAGTTCGTTTTATGTTACATGCAGTTTCAGACATACTTTTAAAGTAGTATACTTAGACCGGTCCTAGGATTGCGCCTAAAACATACTTATGAGCCTACTTAAGTCAAAAACTTAAGGATACACCGAAGGCTTTTTTTTTTCGAGATTTTCAACAATTTTGAGATTTTTGACTAAGAAAAAGAAGTTAATCACTGCTTTATAATGCGTGTAAAATTATTGGTAATTATGAAATGGTTTTCTAAGTATTTAACAATAATGAAATATAAACACTACCACATGTGAATGTTCCGTTATTGAAGCTTCTGATTTGATCTGTGACTGCCTGCTCATGAAAGATGCAATTAATCACTGTGACCACTTGGGGAAATCTTCATTAGCCACACAGAATTTATCAGTAATTAAACTACAGGGACTCTAGGTTTAGAGAAAGAGATCTAACAGATCAGTGATGACCATAAAATAGGAGGTGGAGCTTAGCTCTTGCCATTTTGCTGGGAAATCTTTCTAATTCAGAGTTGAATCTGTTTTACTTAATTAAAAGCATCTAAATACAGAAAAGAACCACCCTTTCTTGTGAATATGCATAGGAAATATGGCTAAGTGACAGGTATCCAAAGCTGAATCTCCAAGGTGTCATATATTCCTAGCTTTGGCAGATTTTGTTGTGTAATGGGTTTTTGCCCTCTACTGTAAAGTAAGATCAGACAGTTTGTGGTATTATTTCAAAGGATTCAGCTCCCTTATTTATTGACCAATTTCTCTGAAAATTGGATGGGTTGCTTTTCAAATGTGTGTTCACAAAACCGTATCTCAGATTTTTGATATCTTAGTCTATTTCTGGAATTATTGAGGGAAATGTTAAATTAGGCTAATAAATTGGTAACATTGCCGTGCAAATGGTTGTAACTTTGAATTAGAAGATTTCACAAAAATCTGAGATACAGTTTTTAAGTTCAATCTTTAATTTACCTTGAGGCAAAATGACCACTTTGAGGGGTT